AAGACATAACAATATCCGTACTAAATTTACACAGTTCCAGACGCCTACAGCCATCACGTTTCGGACCATGCAGATGAACGAGAAGAATATTAGACCGTACAGGCAAACATGACAAACCGTAGTTGCAGTGAATACCTGGCCAAACAATTTTCTACGACATCCACAACTTAATGAACCGTATCTATACGGGATAAACATTATATAACATGACAGTACTGAAAAGCCTTTAAAAAACTTGAAAGTGGTCCATACAAGGACGGGAATCATGTTTTCCCGGCATATGAAGTTCTTTTCCAAATGCCGAGTTCTACATAATTATGCTGACACAATGCACGCGGTATATTATGTGGAGTCCGACAGGAGAAAGCTTCTTCCCTTGTTTTACCACTTAGAATTTAACAGGTTTTTTTTCGTACGGGATCTTAAAAACCTATGCATCGGTGCTCTACGTAAAAGAACATTGGTCGCCCATTGGAACGGAATGTTTGCTGCAGCGTAGTCGAAATATCAACGCGATCAGAGCTACGCCCTGCCCGGAACAACTCACAAAACCTATGAAAGAACGAAAGTTCAAATCGTTCCAAAAATTGAACATTTTAGAAAAGATAAATAGGGACAAGTTTATGACAAAGATGAAGCTATTGTCATGTAAGCTTGATCGAGCTCGTAGAGTCTCTTCTTAAACAGGGCTCAGTCCTTTGAATACGGGGCATGATCCAGAATTACCCGATATTTCTTCACAATTTTTATAATTATACAATTATTGCAATTCAACTTTTACCATTGTGAAGCTAAACATTTTATCTTATAAATTTGTTATTTAGATCTTTCATTATAACTGAACATAACTTCAAAATTCTCTTTTTGTAACCATAGTAACGTCTATGCGGCGCAGGTCAAAATTTATAGGGTTTAACATTAAATTGTTTTTATATTCACACTATTTGATGAAAACTTTGTGCCGTTTTAAGTCTATACTGTATATTCGTCAAATTTTATAAAACAGAAAATATTTATCTAAAGCTCAGTTTTTTTCACTAATGTTGTAGGCCATTTTCAATAATAAAACATACATCTATGTAAATTTCTCTTTATAAGTAATATGTAACCTATAACCTGTATGTTCAAAGTCACATTTATGAAGCATTCTGTAAAACAACATTATCCATACTTTTGAATACTATGTTTATCTATGTCTCTGGTTTAATTGCTATAAACTTTGTTCACTGATTTTTCAAGTTTTTTCCCTAAATACTGTATGATATTGCAATAAAGTCTGTTTACTGTGTCTTCAATTATTTTCTTTTAAAAAAAAAAACACTAAAATAAATTTCTCAAAATTTAGTAGCATGTTACCGCATAACGGTAAAGCCACTAAATTTTCGAAGTACACCTTACCAGTAGTGCAAGTCTTCCTCGGGGAGGTAGGGAAAGGTAAACTTTCAAAACAAAAAGAGTAAATATTGAGTTTTGACGAATTGCGGTGCCTTTTCTTCATTGTTTTTTCGCTAAATAATGTTAAATGATATATTTTATGTTTATTAACGTATTATTACCAAGGAATTTGTATATTTGTGTAAAAGCGTTTTCCACCCTATAATAGACCTTCAATGTTTTTAACCTTTGGGATTTTGACCATGTCAAAAATTATCTAAAAATCCCGTAGGTTAAAATATTTTGACTAGCTGCAGCGATACACAACCCCGATTATACCATGTATTGCAAATGTGGGAAATTGAAATGCGACGGTAAGTAAAGCGGAAAGAAATAAGGAGAACTTTATTTGAGTCGGAGAACAGCAGACATTTTCACAAAAAATCTTACGATTTATCTTAAGTTTTTCACTTACGATAATCGTAAGTTAAATCTTAAGTCATTTTCACAAAGCCACTCGTAAGTTAAAATTTTATCTTAAGATAAAAAAATTCACTTACGATAAATCTTACGACAAAAACATCCCTAGCAACGTTCATTTGATAGTGATGTGCATGCTCTGTATTTGATTCCGGTTTTAAAATCAAGTAATCAAGAGCTTGAAATATCTATTGAACACAATCAAATTTCAATAAGAACAAAAAAATGATTCAAACTGATATAATTTATATCTTGATTGAAGATAATTATATATATCTAAAAGATTCAGAAAGAAGGTCTACTATGTTATAAATAAATTAAAAGGTACCACTAGTACATGCTGGCAATGAAATCGAATTCACCAAATGTACAAATTATTTGTTTTCAATAATACTACAGTATAGTTCACATTTAAACTATTCATAACCCTCTCCATCGTGACTAGTTCACATTCCCTCTCTATCGTGACGTCATCAAGTCATGACGTCACAAATGTTTATGTTGAAAAATAATTATACCTCAATTTGTGTTATTTATAGCATACTGTTTGCTTATATTTATTTGTCCTCCAACTTTTTGTTTGTTTTTATTCAGTTTAGGTAAGAGATACATGATATTTTACCCTTAAGAGAGAAAAAATTACACTTACGAACGGGGAAAACCTATCGTAAAGTTACGACAGATTTTGCACTTAAGATTTTTTTTGTGAAAAGGAGATTTATCGTAAAATTTCTCTTACGACAAACAATTGTCGTAAGATTTTTTGTGAAAATGTCTGCTGGACAACAATATCAATGCACTCAGTCGTTGACCTTGTTGCAAAATTGGATAACTGCAGCGATAAAATTATCAAGTTATCATCCTTGGCTTTAGTTTTCATGTTTACAAGTTGTATATTGATACAATATTATTGTTGATGTTGACAGAGACCTGTATTCTTTTATATTTGTGAACAAACCTGTCCCAAAGCTTTTCGGTAGCCACGTGTGATCCATAGGTGGCCATAACAGAATAGGAAAAGAACAACATAATTGTATGAAGATGTATAAAATTTGGGGATCACATCACAACTAACGCATAGGGACTGGAAGCAACATAAATGCATCCCTGACTGACTGCGACGTGACCTTAAGTGCGCATTTGAGAACCCACGACTCGGCACAGATACCGTGGAACACCGTGAGGATATTAAGCACAACCTAACAAATGTAGACCCGGAGACTAAGTGGTCAAAATTCTACGGCACATATTTCAGACAAACGGGGCTGCTGTAGCCGCCGGGATCATAATGTAAATGTAACATAAACCATTTATCAGTGGTCAGCGTATATGATAATATTTATAATCTTATTATAGTTGACTTATACAGATAACGGCTATACAGTTATAACAGTTCATAATTTGGATTTCGCAGCTTTCTGTTGATAAGTAGACCAACTTTCCGTTTACAATATTAGTGATGAAGTGAATCTGACTGACCAAGAGGGAATTCCAAAGTTACTAATTGTTATATTGTATCAGCGAACTATTGTAATTGGATAGTTAAAGTAACTTATGTATACTAGTACTCGATGCAGTTGCTCGAATCTCGCTTACTTTGAGATGAAAGGATATAATGTTGATAAAGAAAACTAGTAGATATAATTATTTTATTAATTCAGTGTTTGTTTTTACGTACGTGCAACAAGGAATTACCATTTGTATGTTTTTAATGCGACTAAATTGTGCAAGTGGCTAGTTTTTTGTGTGAATATGCTTAAATGGTATCTTAAATAATCGCGTTGGTTTATCAGTATTTTTTGTAGAAAAGTAGAAAAATATTACAGCTAGAAAATGGCACCAACAAACACATTTCATTGGCTTGATTATTTAATATTTATTTTGATGCTGGTAATTTCGGCGTCTATAGGAATATTTTACGCAATTCGCGACAAACGGAACCAGACGACTACAAATTTTTTGCTTGGCGGGAGACGCATGTCACTACTTCCGGTCACTCTATCACTGATGGCGAGTTTTTTGTCTGCAATATTGGTTCTAGGAGTGCCGACGGAGATTTTCTACAATGGAACAATGTATTGGTTGATATCCTTTAGTAATCTGATCACATTTCCAGTAGCTGCGCACGCATTCCTCCCTGTGTTCCATAATCTGGAGCTAATGAGTGCATATGAGGTAAAGAATGGAACCCACAAACACAGATATACATAAAAGCTCCATGCCACAAACATTCTTGAAAAATGGTTTAAACAATTAACTGTATCACCACTTCACATACTATATATGAAACTGTTCAAAGGATATAAGTTATACCATATGTATTTTAATTCTTACTCTTAAGCTCTTTATTGACTCTAATAGTTCATTGGATATACATGTAATTATAATTTTCAATGGAAAATAATAATAGATAATAATAAGAATATTTTTATCTTGAGAAGGTTACCCATTCAACCACGAAAATCATATGCCAATGATTTAAAACAATTTACTAAATAAATTGAACATTTCATTTATAAAACAGCGCGAAAAATTGTCATGTCCAATGGGCAACATCCCATTGCTTTTTTGAGAATGTGTGTATTACTTTTCCTTTAAATAATTTTATGGTCTAGGGTAGTTATCATGTACCCGTAAAACTTGGCTGTGTTCATCAAATAAGGTTTAAATAAATAACACGAGATAACACAATAAAATCATCATCAACAAAAACAACAATAACAACATTTTTATTACAAATATAGCAATGTTTTGAGGGTTTTTTGTTAATGAAATAGTTTTACCACACTGGATAAATCAGTTATTTTATAGAAATCTATTATTCTTTATTTCTATGAAATATGGTCATTTCAATTTTAAATTTTGACTGTTCAAACGGACATGTAGGAGTAATAAAGTCTGTGTCAGGGAATCCGACCAACACTAAATTTCCCCAACAAAGGTTTCTGTCATATTTCATGTTGAAAATGTTATAATTTCTTAAATGATTGGGAAAAATCCTTAACTAAACAATTCTGGCAATAAGTATTGTTATGTAAGCATTTTAACGAAGATAAAAATATGTATTGCTTGGTAAAGCAAATCTACAAGAACCAAAATAAGATGGTTTTTAATTCTTAATTCTATTTTCTCATTTAATTCTTTCACCATTTCAGTACTTGGAGAAAAGATTTTCGAGACCAGTGCGGATAATTGGTAGCGTCGTGTTTCAAGTGCAGATGGTCAGTTTAAAAATACTTGTCCCTTATTATAACAACAACTTGTTTAGGTTAAGCGTTCTTTTACAGGTATAAGTTCAAAAGCCACTTATTCGAAATTAGAGAGAAAACATGCCTATAGAAAGTACTAATTAAGTGTTCTGGGCAGCAGATCTATGCAAGCAATTCGAATTTCGTGTTATTAGGCTTTTGGATCTCAGTGGAGTTCATTAAAGCTCAACGCTGACACTTAGACATGCTAAGCTTCAAATTTAATACAATGTTTAGTTCAAATATTTGTGTATCACTTACTAGCAAAACGTCAAATAAATATAAAAAAATGTGTATATTTACAGACTCTGTATATGGGCGTGGTTCTCTATGCTCCTGCCATAGCTCTTAATCAAGGTAAGATATAGCAAGCAATCCCACGCAATGTGCAGTATAATTTATAAAATATGGTTATAATGGTTCGAAAATGTTGCTATGTTATTGTATATATTATATAAGCTCATTCCACAAATATACACATAAGTTTTAAATATCTGGAAAAGTGGAGATCCATCGAAAGTAACAAAATAACATAAAAATAGCAGACACGGGTTTGATCGAGTCTGTTTATGGGGGATTATGAAAAGTGCATCCCCCCCTACGCCCCCTCGCACCGACTTAAATTAAGCAGCATAAATTTATACCAAAGTAGTTTAGGTAAAATAATATGGTGGCTTTTGGTATTAAGCAAAAATTAACAAATGTAAAATGATTTGGATGTTCACAACAACAAGCAATATGTTGGTAAAATAGCGTTTATATAACAACGTTTCAATCACATATGTGTCAAAATTAGAATGTTACCTAGACTTTCTATTATTATATAGGAAAAGAGTATTTAAAACGAATGTAGTTTTTAATTATTATTGAATATTTTGTAGTGATGGGAATAGACATTCTGATATCTATATTACTGATTGGTGCAATTTGTACTTTCTACACAGCCATAGTAAGTATATAATCATATCATAAACAAGATTTATAATACAATATTCACTATGCTTTTATATTTTCTCATGCATGTATCTACATTTCAATTTATACTTGCTAAAAGTGCCGATTCCTTTAATATGATGTCCTCATCTTAGTTTGCATCAACCATTTCACTAAGAGTACGAATACCTTTTACGGCGAGTTATTGTTTCCAAGATGTCTAGGTTTAAATTCTATTATATTTTTATCAAATTCAACGACAAATTCTTCTTCCTTGAATATAATATACATTTACTTATTAACTATACAGGGTGGACTAAAGGCAGTAATGTGGACAGACGCCTTTCAAATGATAATCGTGTTTGCTGGTGTCGTTGCTGTCGTCTGGAAGGGGACAACTGAAATGGGAGGATTTGATGTTGTCTGGCAACTTGCTAAGAATGGTAGCAAACTACAAGCTGATAAGTAATATATGCGAAATATGCTTTATTTAATGATTACATGTTAAATTAACTGCAAATGATGACATTTTATGGTTTGTGTATGATTAACAAAATCTCTGGAACAAAGAAATTATTTTCTCACTGTATTTCTTTTTCGTCTGTTTCATTTTAGTTTTGACCCAAGTCCATTTGAGAGACATACATTTTGGACGCTGGTTATTGGTGGGTTTGTGACATCTATGACTATATACGGCTCTAACCAGGCTATGATACAAAGATATCTCAGCATGGAAACCAGGAAAAAAGCCCAGACGTTAGTATAATCTAGCGTATATTTAAAATATATCTTGGTTTTTGTACCATTTCTTTCCACAGTAAAAAACACAAACAGGAGTCGCAGTTTTTCATACTGTATGCGTAAGTTTGTGTACGAGCGTAAATTTGACTTAGATTATTGCTTTGCCGTGCCATTTTTCGCTAGTATTCTAAAGAATGCACGGCATTTTTTTATCATAAGTGATAAGAATAATTCATAAAACCTTTTGTTGTGAGCTACATAAACAAAACTGTTGTTGTTTAAGGAAGGCATCGTGTAATCCTTTTTCCCCCAAATCTGATAAAAATTCACTGTATTCATTAAGCTACAAATTTAGGCAACATTTTTTTTTCAGGGCTTTATATTTACAACTACCAGCAAGTATTATATTTACGTCATTGTTGGTGTATGCAGGACTAGTATTGTTTGCCCGTTACCATGACAACGACCCTCTTCAGAGCTGTCTAATTAACAAACGTGACCAGGTAACGTATCTGTCTAACATTACCATTGCTTTCTTTTGTTCTTTATATAAAGAGAAGCACGTTCTTATTCACATGTTTTGCCACTAATAGAAAAAAAGCATCGTCTATTATTTTCCATTATTTCTATTTGAAACCATAATGTATGTTGCAATATGGAACACGCAAGTCATATATTGTTTTGTTTTTACTACATCATTGTTGTTCCAGTTATAATGCTATATGTATGTTACAGTTGATTCCATGGTTAGTTATGGACATATTAGGACAGTTCCATGGTTTTCCTGGTCTAATGGTTGCTTGTATCTTTAGTGCATCACTAAGGTATTTCATGATTTGATTACTTTAACCAACATAAATGTCTTAGACTCCTAGTTGATATACATACAGTTCGTACAACAAGGATGTTATACAAGTGTCCGCATTTAGTTGTAATTTAACTCTTAAGCGAAGCATCGGGAAATGAATATATATTTAGCATCTATTAAAACCATCTCTTAAAGTAACAATTATTGCTGTGTGATAATGATTCTGAATTACTAGTATAAATAATTAAGGTCATTCATGAGTGATTTAAATGGACATATTTTAAAATCATTACTTTAATTTTAAAAGTCATCACACAAGAATAAATAACCGTGGTTTTGTATTTTAGAAATAGTTTCATAAATTATAGCATAAATTGGAAAATCATGTTCGGACAAATATAGTTTCATTTCTTTTTAATAGTACAGTCTCATCGGGAGTTAACGCCCTTGCCTTGACATTCCTCACTGATATTATAAAACCTATATATAGACGTACACAAGGAGAAAAGATGCCAGAACGTCTGTCAACAATACTGTCAAAAGTTTTTGGTAAATATCTCTGATATTATCATACATTTTTAAAATATAACAACATTCTAACTGGCATAAGATATCTATGGCATGTTATAAAATAGTAAAAAATAAACAATAGCAAGTGCCTGCTATTGCATTGCAAAGAAATTTGATTAAAGTCGTTACTAAAGTGCCCCTTGGGGTTGCCTTCAATAGCTGCATGAGGCACAAGATCGTTAGAGGCGAATAAATCGGACAGAAACTAGAACTAGATGGTTCAGATAAGCAGCAAGTTTTCTTAAGTTCTTAATGGTCAAGCTAAAAAGGAGCATGTCCAAACAGTAATCCAAATATTTAGACGTAAACCGCGGATTTGAAGCTTTTTTACATTGGTCAAATCTGCTTTAACGTCTAAAGATATCTATTTAAAAGTCCATAGCAAAATGAAACAATAAACATAATCAGTTGCTTTTTGTGATAAATAGTATTTAAGTTGTGATTTACCGGTAAATTCAAATCGACTCGAGAAGCGTGTCGATTTGTGCTATAGGAAATAAGCCAAATAGGGAAAGACTTCGCATTTTCCGATAAACGTCAAACTGTAAAAAAAGAAAATGCGATGTTTTTCAATGAAGGACTAGTCCAAACTGTAGAACAAATGATATTTTGACACCATGCCAAATCAGCCATTAAACATTAACATATAGTTAGGGTTAAACAAACAAAAATGATTTCCTTTGAAATAGATTTTCGATGTACCTTTCCCTTTCTTCATGCACAGTCTTATAAATTAGAATGTTAACTAATACTAGTAAGTTTAGAAAAGCTAAAAAGCTACTGTATTTTGCCATACTTTATATCATTGTAAATGGTCAAAGGTATTTTGATTGTCAATATGCCAATGAAACTGAAGCTGAAATCATAAATACGATGTATCAATACATATATATCAATATATTTACCCGTCACAGCTCGGAGCGTTAAAAACAAAATTATATAATTCTAAATGACAATTTATTACATCATATTTTCAGCTATATGTTTTGGAGTGGTGACTGTTGTTCTAGCATTTCTGGCCCAGTATTTTGGCAGCCTTATTCTTCAAGTCGCTCTCAGTATCTTTGGTATGGTTGGTGGTCCATTACTCGGCTTGTTTGTGTGCGCTCTCTTCTTTCCTATCATTAACTCGTGGGTAAGTACAAATTTGTCAATTATAATATTACATTAGTAGCTGGACCTACAATCCAACCTAACACAATTTACAGTTGATGTAATTCAATATGAGGATACTTCGTGACAGATATTAATTTTTTTTACAAAGTTTGTCCAATTTTTTCGATGCTCAAGACGGTCGTTGCTATCAAACAACCAAGACTGAATAGAAAAATCGCTTTTATTCACCCCCCCCCCCCCCGTTTATCAATGTTATAAGAAAGATAGCTGAGACAATAGTACGTTGATCATAAGCAAATACGGCAATTCTTGTATTCTTAGAAATGTCTGAAATTCAAAACTTGCCTTATTATTTATCAGGGTGCGGGAGCAGGAATTATATCCAGTCTTGCCGTTACATCTTGGATTGCTATTAGTTCAATTATGTATCGCTCTAGTCACGTGCCTCCAAGACACTGCCCGGAACTGGGATTCATGAATGGTTCAGAGATAACAACTACGCATGCGTTACCGACGACTGGTTCCACATTCAATAATTCTTCATATTTTACAGAATCATTAGAATTAAGGTAACTGTTACATCTTCAGATTTTTTAATGTCCTCTTTTCGCTTTAATAATGTTTAGCTTTGTGAAAGTGTTGCAATACTCTTCCATATCTCACAATATTAAATATTAGCCAGCTGGTGACACAGACCAAAGCCAGACCGTACATTTGTTCTTTTGATCATGGTCTGCTCTGGTCACTGCGAATAAATTTTGAAGTGCTACAGGTAACTACACATATCGCCGTGTTAATGAAAACATATATATAGCTATTTGCAATAATATTCAGCCAATTTGATACATTAAGCGTGGAAAGAGAAAAAATAAAATGTTCTTATTTCTGATCAACCACTTTCAAAAAGACTGGAGACTATCTTGATACATTGTATATATATATATATATGAGCCGCGTCATGACAAAACCAACATAATGGGTTTGCAACTAGCATGGATCTAGACCAGCCTGCGCATCCGCTCAGTCTGATCAGGATCCATGCTGTTCGCTATCAGTTTCTCTACTTGCTATAGGGTTTGTAAGCGAACAGCATGAATCCTGATCAGACTGCGCGGATGCGCAGGCTGGTCTGGATTCATGCTGGTCGCAAACCCATTATGTTGGTTTCGTCGTGACGCGGCTCAATTATTATGATATGATATTTTCAGTGGTATAGAACAGTTGTATCATCTGTCGTATATGTGGTATAGTTCCCTGGCTGTTGTCACTACAGTTGTTGTTGCACTGGTTGTCAGCTGTGCTACAGGTAATAGGTCTAAATATCACAATAACCTTCATTCTATGACAGACAACCTTTAGCATTTTGCAATAATAACCGGTACATTTATATGTATGTGAAATTTTTTGATGCATTAGATGTTCACTAATAGTATTTGCGAGTTCATGTTCTAGCTCACATTTGGTTGCTTATTTATTAGGTACACAACTTATGTCTTGTTTATTTGTTTCCCATTTTTATTTCATATAAAATTTTCAGAACACAAGTAAACAACACAATCCAAATATTTATTACATCATAAAAACACTATTTTATTAAACAGGTGGCAATAAGGGTAGGCCTGTAGACAGACATTTGTTATCCCCCTGGTACTTGGTTCTCCATGATCTAGCTCAAGTTAGTTCCAGTCGACCAAAATTTGGTAAGGAGGAGGCCAGTGATACAACCTCCAACATAGAGGTACGATGAGTATACATTAATATTAAACAATAAATCGAAATGATTAAGTTAGAATTATTTTATCTAATTATTTCATTTCCTTTCTTGATATTTTATAGGTGTGCAAAATTTCTGATCATTTGCTATCTCTGCCAGGAATAGTCATTTAAATTGTGAAAAATACCCCAAAACGAAAGTCGTTTTTAAAAGTTTTTTTGAACTCAAATCGGACAGATTTTTTTTATTTTCAATTTTTGTAATTCCGCGTATATTTCTGAATAAGCTTTGCATATTTTTTTGTGCTATGTTGCAATTGTAATATCAGATTTATTTTGTATTAGGCTTTTGGACCTTTAATGCAAACGCAGTTATATACTGTAAAGTCAAAAGAACTATTTTACGCCATGATTATTAATTGTTCGTAGCAATATACATGTATGTTTTTAAATAATGTTATAAGATGTGCTGGTTTGCTTATTCACTCGTTGCTGTATACGTTGTTTTTTTTACAGATGAGTGCAAGAAATGTAGGGACAAAAGAAAACGGAGTACATCCTTTATTGACTGATACAAATGTACATTGGAAGGGAGTTGAATTTTAAGAATCTAACTGAAAATATTTAAAACTGTGTGTCGTAAGACTAAATATTTCATATAAGTTATTGTTTATATTGAGGCATAGCTTAAATTGTGTTGTGCATATGTGTATGACCGTTTTGTAAATGTTCACAAATTGTACGCTATTCAGCTGTAGTGTTGGTCGAATAAGGCTAAACATACTAAAACAATCATGCTGCTACCAAATGTTGAAATTTTATATGTACTTGAAAGAAAATTTTGAACATTCCTGTTAGAGTAAAATTAAGGAATGAAGTGGGGCCAAAACACAAAGTCTCGTGTATGATCAAATCTACCTCATATTTGTATGTGTGTTCATATATTTGTTTATACAATTGATGATTGTTTAATTAAACTAAATGTATATCTAAATAAATATATTACACTTTTCTATAGAACCTTAACACACTGATGGTAATTTCAAAATACGAGTAAGATGCCAGTTTTGGGTTACTTTGAATACCATTAAGAATAAAAGTACAAAACTGTATATTGTAAATGTCTACGGTTATCTGTTAGACCTTTGGTAATTTACTGCATGAATGAGTGTAGACATTCCTTGACTTTGTAAATAATCAGTATGGCGAGCTTTAGATTCACAGTCTCATGCGGCAGTTACATGCAGAAGACAGGTAAGACCTGCTACAATACAACAACACAGACAATAGGGTCATGTTATGTTTTTACCAGATTGCTACGGAGTAATTTTACTTAATTTCTTCTATTGTATACACCGTAAAAGATAATATAAGCACATTTAACTAAGTTCCGCCAAGAAAAAATGCAAAATGCAGACTTGATGTTCCATCGTTGATCCCTGTGCGATCGTAAAAGGCGACTAAATGATTTCGAATTACTAGTACTGGAATTTATGCATTTCTTAGCTCCAGCAGGTGAGGTGGTTTTGTTGCTTTAAATTTGTAACACCCGAGGTTAGACAAAATCATCTTTTTTCTGTTTCGGCGGCATATGACCTTGTGTTGGTGCCCGAAAAGCCATACCAAATATACAATCAAGACGATCGATCAGGTCAACTGGTCCCGTGTTTTGCCATCAAATATGAAAGCCCCAGTGTTTACTATTTAAGAAAACAGCTCCATAGTGACAAAGAGTTAGACCTTCAAGAATGACGGTCTGTGACCTTGTGTTTTGCTATTCAAGAAGACAGCCCTAGTGACCTAGTGTTTACTTTATGAGACCTAATTGTTTTGCTATTCAAGAAGATATCCCTAGTGTTTGCCTTTAAAAGTAAGTCTTTGACGTTAGTGTTTTGCTATTCAAGACAGCCTGTGACCTAATGTTTGCCTTTAAAGATGACAGCCCAGTGACCTAGTGTTTTACCATTCAAGGAAAAGCCCAAGTGACTAAGTTTTTGTCTGTAAAGATCACAGTCCAAGTGATCTAGTGTTTTGCTACATTCAAGATAAACAATCCTTGTACTTGGTTTATAAGAAACTCTAATGGCTAGAGGATATGGTTTTTCAATTCTTCACATGTAGAATGTAAATAGTAGATATTAAAGATGTACTATGCTCATCTTTTGGTAAAAAATATTGTGATTGCAGAAATTGATTGAAATCTAGTAAAATCTTCCTGAATATGTCTAATTTGAATAAGTGAATGTATAATCTATGTTTGGGAAGCTGCATTCCCTATTGCTTGCCAATTTAATTTGGTCTACCCTTAACAAAACTGCCCTTTTTTAATCATACTGTGATTACCTTATGTGTGTGGAGTTTAAAACTTATCTTCTCTGTGTATATTTAAAAGATGTTTTATTTTACATTTTGATAGAAACTGTACTGTAATTATCAGTTTTTTTTTTCTTTTAAATATCAAATATGGTCCCATGGAAGCAATAAAAACAACATACATGTAACAAGTCTGTTCATGAGTGATAATATAATGTAAGTGCAACATCTCTTCTACAATATGTATTGGGAGATTCTGGAAGTGTTCTGAAGAAGGTTCTTAGGAGCAGAGGACAGCTACATAATAAATTTATTGATCAGTTCAGTGAATATATTGAATACCATGCTACTGTCAGACATTACAAAATTTATCAGGTAGAACGAGTCTGATAAATTTAATGATATTAACCACTTGTTTGGTATTCCTATTTATCATGTTTGTAATTTTAATATGTGTTTCTTTCTTTAAATTTGAAATGAAACAAAAACTTGTCAAGAACCTCTTAATTTTATGCTGCATGCATTAATATGCTGAGGGTCATATCTTTAAGAAATAGTCCCAAATGTTTTAGGCAAATAAATGTAAGAGAGACCTCAATATTCAAATAGTCTATTCGATTCAAAGTTTATCAGTTTAATATTTTTCAAACTAGTAAGAGGTAAAATATTCCAATATGTATTGATAAGGTGTCTGATAACGCTAAAGTTATCAGGCATGCACTTTATCAACAGATATCAATGTCATGACATAATAAAAGAAAATACTAATAAATCTTTATTCATTTCCCATTTATTGTGGATATTTCTCTCTGAAAGATAAACCCAAATGAAATAATATCATCATCTCATCATAATATAGTTCTCATTAACATATAAAACAAAATCAAACATTCACAATGTGGAGCAATTATTATGTTATCACAATAAGTATACAAATGTATATGGTGGCATTAACATAACATGTATTTATCACAAAATTATTTTCCTTCCATTCATAACAAAGATTGCTTCAAAAACATCAAAATATTTTGATGAAAAAAAATACATGATGTGACTTCTTTTCAGTAACTAATTAATTGATTTCAAAAATCAACCGCATGTCTGTGAAATATTCATTTAAACTTCACATAACTCAAAATTGATGCAAACTTGTTTAATGTGATTCAGAAAATATCAAGTATATCTAAACATAAAGAAACAATCTCTTTTCCCATGAACATTTGTTTAGAATTAATGCAGTAACATGTACACTATAGCATGACAGTCACTTATTTCAATATTTATTATGCACAAATAATCCTGATACAGGAACTCTTTTCATTACAATTCAACTTGAATCTGAACTTATAAGCTCTGATTAAATAATCAAAAACACTGTACTAATTTCTACAAAGCAATCATTGCTAACTAACCAGAAAGTACATTAATGATACAGCATTAACATGATCTTTTTTTATTAAAGAAATGTTGGTATTGAATGTACTTAAATAAGAATTCACATAATCAAGTTACTTATAGTGATAATATTATCATAGGACATTTATCACAACAGTTGCATGAAAAGTTTTGGAAGCCAGAGCTTGGCTTTGTCCTGTTATATTTCAGATTAGTAAAACTACTTATTAACAAAACTGTAATTTCTGCTGCTATACAAAGCATAAAAAGACATACTGGTAAATTTCAATAAATAATGCAGTAAAGTTGATAATGACAACTTTTTCTTTATAATCATAAAGTGCAATTCAAATGCAAACAATACATTAACAATTTTATTAAGAAAAATCTTTCTATCTAAACTAAATTTATTCATCTACAGATAACTTAGTTAAGTTAAATAGTAAATACTTAAATTTCTTTAAATTTGCTGACTAAGTGTATAATAAAGCAAATAAAAGTGAAAACAATAACAACAACAAGTATCAAAATTGAACCACATCATGACAAAACCAACATAACGCATTTGCGACCAGCATGGATCCAGACCAGCCTGCGCGTCCACGCAGTCTGATCAGGATCCATGCTGTTCGCTTACAAACTGTATTACAAATAGAGAAACTGGTAGCGAACAGCATGGATCCTGATCAGACTGTGCGGACGCGCAGGCTGGTCGCAAACGCATTATGTTGGTTTTGTCATGACGCGGCTCAAATTATAAACAATTCTTTTGGACATGTGACATAACCATTCAAAATGTGTCTGCTGAAAACAAGTATGTGCTAAAAATAAGTATGGAGACAAATCAGGAACAATGTAGCATGATATCAAGAACCGCAGTATTTATTTGTTTATATGGTGATAGAATCGAAATAACATATCCTAAGCAGTGATTATGATATCACTTTATAAAATCACTGACAAGTAAGCAGAACAAAATGTAGATAACTTAAGATGTGATGTAATAAAATAATTTAAACAAATAATGTTTTTATGATGCATAGTCCTTGCATTCAACTTTCTACCACAAAAAAAAATCTTAGGAAAATAATCAACACAAATGAGATCTGGTATTAAACAAATTATTTCTGGACATAATTCATGACATACATTACATGTAAAGTCATTTAAATCTCTTGTAAATTTGAACTAAACTCGTGAAAACATCTAATTGAAGACCTCTATAAATAAAACATTAATATATCAAAAACAACACATTCATCAAACATGTACAACACTCTCTATAGAAAGGGCAAGCCTACAGACATGTCTATGGTCTGTAACTTTTACTGCTATATGAAGCATGAAACAACATTCAGACTATCATTTATCACAAATACATACATATATATTACTTACATCAAGTTAGTTATCACAATGTTGTAAACAAATAATGCACACAAAACATCAAATCAAATCAAATAAAAAAATTTAAACATCACATAACAGTCTGCAATAGTTTGCAAGTTTACACTGATAATATTAACTAACAATATTTCAGTACATTTCAGAAGTAAACTGAAAGAGATATGTGCTATGGAGCACTGACATAATTTCACAGAAATCAGAAAGCAAGTTACTGGTGAGTGATACATGTACATTGCAGCATAATTTTCTATACTCATGTATGTTTATTGAATATTAGCACTGTTAATTCAAACCCTAGGTTAAACTGTTACAATTTCATCATTAAACATTTGGTATATATGTTGTCTTCACTAGTGATACAATAGCAAAGTAACGCAAGTCAGGTGTGAGACATGTAACATCATTATTATCTCTGTGTATCCAATGTTTTAGGCCTATAAACAGGAGCAGTTGATTTAGGTAATGGTTGCACACCTCTAATAATATCTGCTGCTTTTTCAGCGACCATAATTGTTGGTCCATTCAGGTTTCCACTAACAACACTTGGCATTATAGAAGCATCCACCACACGCAGATTTTCCAAGCCAATGACTTTTGTCTCTGGGTCAACAACTGCCATCTGGTCACTTGGCTGACCCATTTTACATGTACAAGATGGATGATAGGCACTGTCAGCTACATTACGTATAAACTCATCCATTTGCTCTTTGGTTTGAACTTGAGGTCCTGGTTGAAGTTCTTCACCTCGAAATTCATCAAATGCTTTCTGTGCAAACATTTCCCGTGATAAAGTGATGCCATCTCTCATTTCTTGCATATCCTGTTCTGTAGTGAGGTAATTGGCCACAATTTTTGGATGGTCCTTTGGGTTATTGGTTTTAAGTTTAAGGTATCCCCTACTAGTTGGCCGCATTGAACCAATATGGAACTGGAAAGCATGACACTCGCCAGTTTTCCTTCCATGGTCATTAACAACAGATGGTAGAAAATGAATCTGAAGGTCGGGATGTTCAACACCCGGTCGACTGCGGATAAAACCACCAGATTCTAGATGGGCTGTAGCCCCCCAGCCTGTCTGAGTGAGGAACCACTGCAGACCTATTCTAATCATATGATGGGGAAACTTCCACTGTGCTATGTAGAGAGTGATTGGTTTCAAGCACTTGTACTGAATGTACATTTCCAAATGATCCTGTAGGTTTTCTCCAACCCCTGGCAGATTTGCTACCACTGGAATATTCAGCTTTTTCAAATCATCTGCATTTCCTACACCAGACAGCATCAAAAGTTGTGGTGAATTTATTGCACCACCACTCAGAATTACTTCTTTATTTGCCATAGCTCTTTTAATTTCCCCGTTTTCCTCATATTCAATCCCAACAGCTTTGTTCTTATCGAAAAGTACTTTGGTTGTCAAAACCTTCACTTTTGTTTCTAAATTTGATCTCGTCTTCCTGATTGGATGAAGGTATCCTGCAGCAGCACTCCATCTCATACCTTTATGTATTGTCATGTCCATCCAGCCTACACCTTCTTGCTGGTACCCATTCATATCATCAGTGAAAGGGTAACCGGCTTCTTGACCAGCTTTAATAAAAGCATGATGTAATGGGTTGTCAGTTTTACCACGAGATACATGCAATGGTCCACTTCCCCCTCTGTAATCATTCTCCCCCAGCTCATGGGTTTGTGCCTTTCGAAAATATGGTAAACAATTTGCATACGACCAATTAGTAGCACCCTCCTTTTCCCAACGATCATAATCAAAAGCGTGTCCACGGATGTAAACCATGGCATTGAGAGATGAAGATCCTCCCCATACACGGCCACGTGGCCAGTACATTACACGATTGTTCATAGATGGTTCCGGCTCCGTGTGGTAAAACCAGTTGTAGTTATCATCACACAAATTATACATGAGAGCTGCTGGCATCCAGATTTTCCACGAGAAATCTTTCGGTCCGGCCTCCATTAATAAAACTTTGTCCTGTCCACTCTCTGTTAACCTATTAGCTAGAACACACCCAGCCGACCCAGCCCCCACCACTATATAATCATATGATGGCACATCTGAAGATACACTAACATTATATGATGATGATGTACTAAAATTATATCTCTGCCCACTTTTAATAAAATTGTTCACAGCAGATTTGAGAAATCCGGGTTTTTTTAAATTTGACATAGTGCTAAAAGATCGGTGTTGATTTTGTTGCAGATTTTCGCTGATGTCATTAAATAGATACTTGCTAACATAGCCAACTGATGGAACCACATAATCAGCGTGTTTCTCTAAAGTTTCTTTGTCTCCTACACCAGTCAAAACACCTATTTTCCTAAACACTTTAGCTTTTTCTGCCATCTGTAAATCAGTTAATGAATCTCCTATGATGACAGTTTGATCAGGGCTTGTATTAAATTCATTACATATTAACAGAACATTATGTGGCGAGGGTTTCGCTTGAGAAATAGGGTCGTCACCACACACCATTATATCTACATACTTTAATAATCCAAGAGAATCTAAATCTGAGAGGGCATACTCCCTGAAGTCTGTTGTATTAACAGCAATTTTGACGTTATTTTGTTTCAGGTTCTGGAAAAGTTCTTCAACTCTTGTATCACTAGATATTGTGTTAGATTCCAGTAAATGATTGCATTCTTTCCAGGTCTGATTAACCATAAGCATGGACTCTTCATATGTAAGACCATTCTTTAGCAAGATTTCTGTCAGTTTTGATTTCACTTGAGTTGGTGTACCATCTCCTAATATACCCATTTTAACTTTCTTAGAATCTGTACACACTCCTAGAGTTTCGTAAAGTTCTGTTTTTAGCTTTAATCCTGTAATCTGTTCCATTCTGGAATAAAAGACATTTTATTAATTAGGCTATTACTAAGAGTTATGGTGTTTAAAGTTGACATCTCAAATATACAGTGAGCTATAATTCTTTCAAAAATTGCAAAAAAATAAATACACAGGGCAATAACTCCAAAAGCAAAATGATTTGTAGTGTTATCATTCATGTGCATTGCACTCATTCCAATAAAATCTTTCCAACTTTGAAGAGTCAACATGATGTCTTAATCAATTTTAAAGTTTTTTCATAGACAAAAGTTAAGAAGGATATTAACTAAAGAAAATATGAAGGCAGAGTAATCAGTCTTGTAGAGCTTAATAAGGTGCATGCTCCTGTTTAGTCTGGAAGACTTCCTTATTATTATCAAGGTTTAACTGGTAAGAGTTTTGTGCCAGACATACCAAAAACAATATACATGCACCTTTCAAGGTTGGATTCTTTTGGTGGACTGACTTCTGTGATTTAGTCAAGGTTAATATTTTGTGACAACCACAAACAATAGGTCCCTTCATCTATTATTTTGAGGGCATAGAAATCTCCTACAGTCAGATGTAATTCTATTAACATATTGATTTAATACCTCACCTTGTACACAGAGTGTCTAGCCATTCACTATATCTACTATGAGAACACAGCAAGGTACCATGGAGGTCAAATATTACAACTTTCACACCATTTTTCACTACAGGCTCTACTCCCTTCATCTGACACTGTCCCTCCTCTAAGTCATGTGGCTCTACCATGATTCTCTCTACATGACTGTGGAAAAAACAACAACAACAAGATTAATATTGCTCTTCAAATACTAATAGATCTTCCTCTATTTGTAATCTATTTAAGCTTAGAAAAATATTTCTGCAAAAGTTGAGAAAGAGCCAAAATAAACTAACAAACCTTTTAAAAACTACATCAAGACATGTTTTAAGACTTCCTGGGTAACTGGCATACTAAGAAATGTTAAAGTGGATCATTTATTCCAGGAAATTTGTCCTATTATGTGAGCTCACCTTAATCATTCAAATCTAATGAACAAGCAGTGAAGAAGATCAAATACAAACCTATATCTATAGTACTGTTTCCAATCTGATCCAGGTAGTATGAGGGGCAACAAATCTTTGACACTGTGTATTACATGATCAGCTTCTGGTAACAGATCTGTGCTGTTTCCCACACCACTCAACACGCCCACATTCCATCCAATATTTGCTGCCTTTCCCATACCAACATCTGCCTGTGTATCCCCAACCATCACCGTATCTGCAGGATCTACACCAAGTTTATTACAGATCTTGAATGCCGAGTATGGACTTGGTTTTGGCTCCGTATCTGCATCGTCACCGCAAACCACCATATCAATGTATTTTTCTAAACTCAATTCTTTTAATGTTTCCAGAGTTCCCTCCCTTGAATCAGAAGTTGAAATTGCTATCTTCACTCCGTTTGACTTGAGAATTTTAAACAAAGTTTGTAGATTCGCCAGAGATTTCAGAGTTTCCTCGCTACTAGAGTCGCCTTCTTCCCAGATATCCTCTATGATTTGTCTAGCCTCTTCTTGCTTGAAACCTTGTTCCTGCAGGAAGTTGGTAAGTTCAACTTGTATGATTGGCTTAGTGGACTCGGCCAATAAGCCAGGATTGAACTTCTTGCTGATGGAGCAGTATCCTAGTAGATCGTATAATTTTTCTTCTAGATCCATACCAGTAGCTGCACACAATCTGTTACACACAAAATATCTTAACCACACAGTTTTAAAGTATCAAAAGTTTTCATAAACCTTTTCCATGGACTAAATCCAATTAAAAATACCTATATAATTCTAAATTTTAAATATTGCAACTTTTTAACATTTGTAAATTGTGCTGTTTCAGTTGTTTATTCTGTTGGATAATTGTTTACTTTTTTATGCTTCTTTTATGCAACTTGTAACATCAAGAAAACAGTCTCATGTACATATATAAGTTTGACTATACATTATTTTTCTAAACTTACTTTGCACTAAATCTTTTCAACCATGGATACCACATAGAGTGGAAACATATAAGAGTTCCATCTTTATCAAATATAACAAGAGATGCTTTCTTGTTATGTCCCACTGACTGTTGTGTCCGGACACTCTTTACTGTAGCTCTATGTCTCAGATTGGTTCGCTGTTCCAAAACATCAGTCTGACTTGTGAATGACCGGGATATATCTGTAGAGTATAGTTTAATACATGTATATATATTGATCATACATTTAACTTTAATAAACATTTTTCTTACTTTACCCTTTTTAAATTTATTATGGATTAACATAAAAAGAGGTAATTTGTTCATGTCTACAAAATTTTTGAGACATAAATTTCAGTTTTGATGTAAATTTATAAAATTGTATTCACACTGAGGTATCAGACATCTTTTAAAAACATCTCTTTTGAACTTGAAGGCAAGTTAAGGTCATTTTAAAACAGGAGCCAGCATAAAGTTAAGCGTGACTTCTGAAAAATGCACAACACTGGTCCTACCTGTATAGATATTATTAACTTTTCACACTATTGATAGATCATGCAAATATTAAATTTTATCTATCAAACTCTACAAAATGTTTATCATACCTGTATTTACAGCTGCAGTTCTGCTTATTCTGAGGTAAGAATTTTGACGGGCTCCTGTTAATCGGCCTGTCTGTCTCATCAAGTGAGACACTACTCTGTATGCCATCTTTAAATGATTACTTCAGCATCGATTAACAATCAAGTTTATAGGCTGAAAATAGACAAAGAACATAACTATATGAATTTGTATAAAAGTCTGAAAATCATGAAATTATTGTTGTTGCTAGTTACAATTGTGTTTTCAATTATTTTCCACTCTTCAGTTTCCCCAAGTCATCAAACATATATAAACGACAAAACCAACATAATGCGTTTGCGACCAGCATGGATCAAGACCGGCTCAAATGATGTGGCTTGTTGGCATGAATATTCAATAATTTAATCATTAAAATGTTTACATAAGAGACAGAGACAGCTTGCATTATCTGTTTGTTTGTTTTATTGGGTTTTATGTCACACCAACTTTACTGGTGGAGGAAGACCTCAGGTGCCCTTCCATGCATTATTTCAGTAGAACCAAAAATGTTCTGTAAGCTAGCTGGATAGCTTCCTCACATGAAAGAATCCAAAGTCCCTGTCGGGATTTGAACCCACAGCGGTGAGGGGCAAGTGGTTTGAAATCAACAACCTTAACCACTTGGCCACTGACGCCCCCTTGCATTATTTATTTAATGTGTTTAGACAAACCACAGTTACAGTAATTGAGCATTATTATAGCTTTATTTGCTGCAGAAGGCTCAAAGTAACTACCAAACCATCAACCAGCACACATTACGACACATTCACAATTTAAATATACATTTATATTCCGGTCATCATCATAAAAAATGTCTATGATGTAAATATTTTCTTAGCTCTGCCTAAGTTGTTTCTCCTTTTCAATCTCAAGCTATTCATAGCCAACAAAATGTATAAGAAATTTATAATTATTGTGTTTTTTTTCTTTTCTTCTTAATGTTTTTTTTTTCTCCTTAATGTGTTAATATACTTATAACATACTCAATACTATATTTGTAATATACTTATCATGTATTATTAAATTGTGAATAAAATATTGTTGAAACTAACATTAATTTTTCCTAATAAAAGCATATAATTCTATCCAAAGTATTACCTCTTGCAGAAAAAATTATCTATCAAGAGCAGATCGTTCAATACATAATAAAAACTTTAATATCAGCGTACCTTTTTCATCACAATCGCTTCAATAGGTTTTCAATGTGCATTGAAAGCAATAAAAATGAATAGGTTTATATTTATGATATTCTTATCTGAACCATTAACATAATTCATTATCTGAAGTTTTTACTCTGTATTGAACATTTTGTAAAGTCGGATCTCAAAAACATAAACAAGAGGGCAATAATGGCATTTAGTCACTCACTCTTGAGGATATGGATTCATTAGGAGGTAATTCTTAGTTTCATTAATATATGCCAAGCATATAACTTTTATTCCAATCAAAGGTTATGTTAAGTGACATGTAAATCACAATAATAATGAGATCAAAGATCAAACAAGAAATGTCGAAACGACACATATGCCCCCCTTTCTAGCCCTTGACTCACATTATTGCTAATTTTGTTAGAGATACTTGCCATAAATGGGTACATGGAAGTGTTCAATTATGGAAAAAAGAAAAATAATGAAGACTCTGTGATAAATAGTTTTCAAGATAATAAGACATTCAAGGCCCCTGTGACCTAGACCTTTGACCCAAAATCAATAGGGGTCATCTAATAGTAATGACCAATTAATATTAGAAATATGAAGACTTTGTGATAAATAGCTTTCAAGATAATGAGCGGCAACCATACTAACATTCAAGAACCTTGTGACCTTGACCTTTGACCTAGTGACCCAAAAATCAATAGGGGTCACTTACTAGTTACTACCAATCAGTATGTGAAATATGAAGACTTTGTGATAAATAGTTTTCAAGATAATCAGCGGAAACCATTCTGACATTTAAGGTAGGGTTTCTTAATCGGACAAAAATCATAATCGATCATCGAAAATAATCGAACAACCCTTTTCGATCAATCATCGATTATATAATCGAAACATTTATGATAACAAAGTAAAAAGTATAATGTACATATCATGCTTTAATATTTATAGAATTCATTTCCATGTGACCACCACTTTATCAACTGAAATAAATAGTTTTAAGATATACTATGCTCATCCTTGAGTAAAATATTTTAATCAAATAAATTCATTAAAATCTATGAATTATTATATCTCACTTTCTATAAAGGAATGAATAAACTATGTATGGGAACAAGTTAAGTGGTCGAATTGTTCTAACAAAACTGCCATTTTTTTAATGACACTATATATTGATATTGCAAACAACCACCAATTGTGTGTAGAATAATTTTATACATAACATATCTTCTTTGTGTGAAGTCAAAACATGTTTATTTTGTATCTACAAATAGACGGTATAGCAATTTTAAATATTTTCTAATGTCAAATTTTAGCATAGTATACCTTTAAACTAGCATGCCTGATGTCAACTTTTAACTCAATGGTCACCAGTATGCTTTCATATTCAATTGAATGAAAATTAATGTTTCAAACAAAACTGGCTTTAATTTAGTGTTGTTATAATACAGTTAGTCACTTAAGTAACAGCAAGAAAATAAATTACTGATGATCGATTATTTAACTTTGTAATCGATCAGGTTCTATAACCGATCAATTTTCGATTATACTCGATCATCGTTTAATCCCTAATTTAAGGCCCCTGTTACCTTGACCTTTGATCTAGTGACCCCAAAAGCAATACCAATCATCTGTTGGTTATGACCAATCACTATGAAATATGAAGACTTTGTGATAATTATCTTTCAAGATAATGCACTGAAATCATACTACCATTCAAAGACCCTGTGACCTTGGTCTTTGACCTGGTGACCCCAAATCAATGGGGTCATCTTCTAGTTATGACAAATCAATATGTGAAATATGAAGACTTTGTGATAAATAGTAACCAAGATAATAAGCGGAAATCATATTACCATTCAAGGCCCCTGTGACCTTGACCTTTGACCTAGTGACCCCAAAATCAATAGGGGTATTCTACTATCTATGATCAATAAATGTGTGAAATATGTAGACATTAAAATGAATACTTTTCAAGATAATCAGCGGAAACTATGTAGACATTTAAGGCCCCTGTGACCTTGACATTTGACCTAGAGACCCTAAAATCAATAGGGGTCATCTACTAGTTATGACAAATCAATATGAGAAATATGAAGACTTTGTGATAAATTGTAACCAAGATAATAAGCAGAATTCATATCACCATTCAAGGCTATTGTGACCTTGACCTTTGACCTAGTGACCCAAAAATCAATAGGGGTCATCTACTGATGACTAATCAATATGTGAAATATGAAGACTTTGTTATGAATACTTTTCAAGATAATCAGCAGAAACCATTCTGACATTTAAAGCCCTTGTGACCTGGACCTTTGACCTAGTGACCCTGAAATCAATAGGGGTCATGTACTTGTTATGACCAATCAATATGTGAAATATGAAGACTTTGTGATAAATAGCAAACAAGATAATAAGCGGAATCCATTTTGACATTCAAGGCCAATGTGACCTTGACCTTTGACCCCAAAATCAATAGGGGTCATCTACTAGTTATGACCAATTACCATGTGAAATATGACGACTTTGTGATGAATTCTTTTCAAGATAATCAGCGGAAATTATTTTGACATTTAAGGCCCCTGTGACCTTAACCTTTGACCTAGTGACCCCAAAATCACTAGTTATGACCAATCACCTTGTGAAATATAAGAATTTGTGATAAATAATTTTCAAGAAAATCAGGGGAAACCATTCTGACATGTAAGGCCCTTGTGACCTTGACCTTTGACCCTAAAATCAATAGGGGTCATCTACTAGTTTTGACCAATCAATATTTGAAATATGAAGATTTTGTGATAAATAGCAACCAAGATAATAAGCGGAAATCATATTGCCATTCAAGGCCCCTGTCACCTTGACCTTTGACCTAGTGACACCAGAATCAATAGGGGTCATCTACTAGTACGTTCAGTGTTGCATCTAGGCCACGCGATTGCGCGATTTTCCCATTTTTTATGCAGATCGTGCATTTTAATGAAGTAAATGCACGCCAAGTCGCGCATCTGATGATCTTTTCAACTTAATTCAGTTTATCTACATCGTATCTTGGACGCTTCAGCCATGTTTGTTGTCACTTGTGGTAATGACTTAAATACGTACTAAATCGCGTGTAGCAGCGAACTGGGTCATCTCGCGTGTGTTTTGTAGTATTCGTCAATACTTTATTTTTTCTTCTTTTCGTTTTTTGAGCGGACGATAGCTGTCAAAAATGCCTGAACGTAAAATAAATGAATTATTTTCGGTATGTCATATTGTAAGGTCAATGTATGTCCCCCTCATTTTTCAAATCCCCCACATTTTTCAGTTGAGTGGGGGACAATCCCCCATAATTTTGAAATTCTAGATGCAACACTGGTACGTTATGACCAATTACCATGTAAAATGACGTCTTTGTGATGAATACTTTTCAAGATAATCAGCGGAAACCATTTTGACATTTAAGGCCCCTGTGACCTTTGACAAAGTGACCCGAAAAACTATAGGGGTCATCTACTAGTTATGACCAATCACCATGTGAAATATGACGACTTTGTGATGAAAACTTTTCAAGATAATCAGCGGAAACCATTTTGACATTTAAAGCCCCTGTGACCTTGACCTAGTGACCCCAAAATCAATAGGGGTCATCTACTTGTTATGACCAAACAATATGTGAAATATGAGGACTTTGTGATAAATAGTTTTCAAGATAATCAGCAGAAAGCATGTGGTCTACCAATGGACAGACAGACCAGCATTAGCAAAACAATATCCCCCCTCGTTTTTGAAGGGGGGCATAATAAAGATGTTTAAGAAACTAAAACTTGATTTGTAGTAATGAACTCAAAGAAAAACAAAACAAAAACAATAAAAAAAAATAAATGACATGTTTCATCTTTGTACATGATGACTTAGTAACTGTCAGTAAATATATAAAGTAAATGTTAAGTGTCAGTAAAGTCCTAGACCAGCTGGCTGACAGTCACATGTGACAGGTTCCTTCAACATAAATCACTTTCAAGTAGATAATAAAGTGCCTTTTTACATTACAAGAGAAATCATGAATGCACTCCTAATCATAGTCAGAATTGATTGTTCGGGAGTAACATGTAGATGTAGATAGATCATTGCAACCACCTTTATATTCTAAGATTAGGAAGAGCCAGCGAAACAAAATTATTACGAACTGACAGTTTTACTGAAACAATTCTTGTAAAACACATACCCATTTATCAACAATAAATTGAATAATTTTAGTAGAGCTCTATATCCTCGAAATTGAACTAAACGTAAGTGATTACATGCAGTATGAACAAAATATATCCGTTGATACTGACTGGCATTGTTTTATACCAGAAAAAAAACAAAATCATGCATGTAAATTTTCCAATAACTATTCTAATCTAAACATGATGAGTGGAAATATTTTATCATTACCCAAGGTCAAGGCCGCGGAAGCCGGTTCGCGAGAAATTTCCTTATCTCGGACTTATAGCTTTTTCTACGGATTACTTTGTTATTATCTCTTAAAAGGTGTTTGACGCATGCGCATCAAGCAAAAAATAAACAAAATTTCTTTTGTTTACAAAATAATATATTATTTGTCGCATATTTTTCTAATATTTCGGACCCTGTCTCTTAACCTATAAGGCATATTTAAAATGGGCAAAAAACACAAGCCTAAGAAGCATAAATCTAAAGGATATGATGATGATTACGAAGGTAATTTACGAATGAACTGAAATGTCATCAGTATTCACGACCTGTTGGAATGAATTATTTTGTCTACAGCGTCATATTATAAATGAGTCGAGCTTTTCATGGCGGCGCGGTTCTTAACCAAACATTCACTCTATGACATTGATTTACTAACGATGTAACTAGTATTTTGTAATATCTCCCATCTGAAAAATGACTTCGGGGGTAGACATCAGCTCTGTTACCCTACTCAACAAATTATCATATAATTTAATAACATAACAGCTATTGACCTTTTCGAAAACCTAGCTAAACACCGTTTTCCGGTATGTTGCGAATTTAGCTCTGGGGAATTACACCAAATGAAGTACATAACACAGTTACATGCATTTCTATTTTTCTATCATTATTTTAATGTTTAAGGTTAAAAACATGATTTTTTTGAAAATTATCAATATTCCTTTAATATCTATTGCAAGTTTTTGTAAAAAATAAATTGTTTGTAATGATAATCAATAAAATTTAAACAGACGTAGCCAGGAATCTCCCATAATAAATAAGGTTATTTTCAGCGTAAACTTGTGTATTTACTTTATGTTTTGTATGGAATTATTCATACAATGATATTCAATTATTTTCTTATAAAGAAATAACTGTTTTATTTCCATTTAATTAAAAAAAAAGGCCGAAAACATCGAGTTCGCTATTACACTCCATTAGGTGAATTCCCCAGAGCTATGTACAGAAAGTACCGGAAAACGGCGTTTAGCTAGGTTTTCAAATTCGTGAATAGCAAATAATTCACTCAGATTTATAGATAAAGAAAAGTCAAAACTTCCAACAAAAAGGTTAAAGAATCTGCCTACAAAACTTATGTAAGGCCCTAGTTAGAATATTGTTCCACTGTTTAGCATCCTTTGCAAAAATATCTAGTTTACAAAATACTATTTAAAAGAACAAGTTGAAAGTTCATCTGACAGATATGTATACAACAACGAAATTTAGAGGTTACGTACCATGGAGGAAATGTACCACTGCATAAATGTAAATGAGGTTATGTACCACATATATATAATTAGAAATAAAGGGATAATAAGGGAATAATTAAAATAAAATTAAATTTTTTTTTTAAATTGTGCATTAATCGATCTATTGTATTCTAAAAATTAGATTACAATTATAATATAATAACAATGATAATATTTCATAGTTTGTAATTTGTTTGTTATTAACTTATTTGTTTGATTAACTCATTTCTGACTGTGTGATAATCATTTATAGATACAGGTAAACTATTGCTATATTGCTATTTAAGATCGCTTTGCTATGATATGTCTTTTAAGAAATAAGTAATATTAATGTAATAATTCATTCATTTTTATGCTCCCCGAAAAATTTCGGGGGAGCATATAGTCACCGCCTTGTCCGTCCGTCTTTCCATCCGTCCGTTTTTTTTGTCCGGGACATAAATTTGAAACAACAAGAGGTATCAACATGAAACTTTGTAGGTAGCTAGATCTCATTGAGTAGGTGTGCATTGCACAAGAACGGTAACTCTGCCTTGCCTTATTTTTAAATTAACCCACTTTGTTTATTTTACTTTTTGAACTTTGTCCGGGACATAACTCTAAAATTATAAGAGGTATCAACATGAAACTTTGTAGGTAGATAGATCTCATTCAGAAGGTGTGCAGTGCACAAGAACCATAACTCTGCTTTGCCTAATTTTTGAATTATCCCCCTTTGTTTATTTTACACTTTGAACTTTGTCCGGGGGACATAACTCTAAAAGTATAAGAGGTATCAACATGAAACTTTGTAGGTAGATAGATCTCATTGAGTAGGTGTGCAGTGCACAAGAACCGTAACTTTGCACCGGGACATAACTTTAAAAGTATAAGAGGTATCAGCATGAAAATTTGTAGGTTGATAGATCTCATTGAGTAGGTGTGCAGTGCACAAGAATCGTAACTCTGCTTTGCCTAATTTTTGAATTATCCCCCTTTTGTTTATTTTACACTTTGAACTTTGTCCGGGACATAACTCTAAAAGTATAAGAGGTATCAACATGAAACTTTGTAGGTAGATAGATCTCATTGACTGGTTACCTTTCAGCTTAGTCAAGCGAATGATTGTGTTACAGATGAATACAGTTTTGAATAAGTGTATTGACTTTGTCCTTTTCTAATATTATTGCTTTAGAAAACAACATTTCGAAATCCCATTTTATTTTATTATTGTCAATTATCTACAATTATAACCCAGTTTGGTTGAAGATTAAATCATGTAATGTTTTTCAAAAGAAATACAGTACAGATATCGAGGAATATGCAAATTCCTGCGAGTATCAAGTAATCTCAAAAAGCGTGACTCCCAGTGGATTATAAATTTCTCGGGTGAAAAAGAGTGACTCCGAGACAAAAACGAGTGACAATTTTGTCCGCGGGACTCCGTGAAACTTCGAGTCAAAAAGAGTGACTCCGAGAAAATAAGACTGATTTGGTACACGTATGCTTTATTTATTTATTAATTAATATAATGCTCTACCTCTAAAATAAAATCCTTCAACGCATGTATTATTTATTCAAAATAACAATGTTGTCGAAAATTCTTCGTTGATGTAAAGTATCACAAGTGAAAACGAAAGTAGACACACTTGATTCATTAATTAATTAAAGGAAAGAATAACCGATGATTTCCCGCAATTCCCGTAACGCGCAGTGTCAAAAACCTATTTAATTTAGTATTCTAAAATAAGAAAATATAGATGAGCTTCTTTTTTGCATTGTTTATACAAATTTATAATTATTATGTAAGCAAAAAAAGAAGAAGAAAAAAAAAAGGAAATACATGGCAAAACAACCACGTGCTTAGGTTGATTCATTCCATTGACATATTATCGTAAGGGAAATTACACTTTGTACCAGAACTGAATAAAAAAACAACACTTTCTTAAAGACAGTTTACAAATTATTCTTCATTGAAATGCATCTGCCTTGGAAAGTAAACTTCTGAAAAAGGTAATTTTATACTTTTAAGTCAGGCTTTTAGATAAATTGGTACCAGTTACATAAATGATACCAAACTGATTTCCATGTGAAGTACATGTACGTCTCCTTTTAATTGTTGGTTGATAAAAATCCGTGAAATACGAGATATAATACATCATTCCATACAATGCACTAGCCAAAACAGCGACACCCTATGTCGGCATGTACAGACCTGCTTTTAATATTAATGTATTAATTTATTTTACTATTGCTTTCAGAACAATATAGTTCTAACAGAGTTAAGAAGTTCGATCTGCTAGGCAATTCTACCGATGTTGGCAGCACAAGAAAGGACATCATTAAGGAATTCATTTATGAAATTCTACCCATGTTTGCAGGGGGAAAACAACAGGCACTGCGTCGTCTCAAACATAAAACCATGAATTATAAAACAGCAACAAGAAAATTGAGATTGGCAGTGATTTTTAAAACTATACAAACCAATATAAAAGTTGGGAAAATCAATTTTTTTATGTGCACATGTTATCAATGATTAAAATATTATGAAGATCGAAACTCATTTTCCACATTGAAAAAAAACACAATACAATATGTGGCACCTAAAATAAATTAGAACGGCACGTTATCGGTATTTGATGCATTTAGAAACATTTACATCTAAACAAAAATACGATGATGTATAAATAAACATACAAAAAATATAGAAATTTCATAAATTATAACTACATAGATTATTTTCGTCAAAAGGAAGTTGTAGGTTTTTTTCTCGAGGAACTGTCGCAGTGATTTAATTGGACAAGACAGACATTTAAGATTAATGAAGTTTATATAATTAATTCAATTCTTAAAGAAGTATAAAAAAAGCTGGGCCGTTATTATATGGATTATTTTAATCGTTTTTTGTTTTTGAAGAATTTCGGGTTCCTGTGGTTATTGCTACTGACCTAATTAATCGGGATAAAAATAAACTTGAGAACTGATGATGCTTGCGGTAGTGATTTTTTCTAATCAAATGTACCTTTCAACTTTACAGGGTAAATTGAAAACAACAACGATAAAAATCATCTTTATTATTTTCGAAAAAAAATTAAATTGCACTTGCATTTATTTACACCAGCTAGACACCGACACGGAATTACGCGTTAATTCTCTCTCGGAGTCACGCGCTTTTATTTTCGTCTCGGAGTCACTCTCATCACACGTTTCTCACGCGGAGTCACTCGTTTTTATGGACAAATACTCTCGCGGAGTTGCGAGTGTTTTCCTCGATCCTCCGAGGATTTTGCATATTCCTCGATATCTGTACTGTACAAAGTCAAACATTCAGTTGTGAAAAGTTGAGCACCTACATGTATAACAAATTAAAGATGTATCACCAGTAATATAACCGCCTCCGTGGTTGAGGGGTTTGAGTCAATGACTTCTAATCCAGCTACTTCTCTGGCATGGGTTCGATCCCTGGGAGATGATTTGGTAGTTTAGCACGGAGGAAGGTAGTCTAGTACTGGTGTAACTCTCCAGGAACGATGGTTAGGAAACTACCCGCCTATATGACTGAAATACCGTTGGGAAAAGGAGTAAAATGAAACAAACAAACATCACCAGTAAATGGTGGGTAAACAGCAACTGTTTATGATAATACTTTTTTCTGGAATATACTTTGTGGAATAACAGC